AACCTCCTTGCATTTCAGGCTCATTCCAAACAAACCATGTCTGTATCTCTAAGGTCTCGAGGCTCAAAGGTATCCTCCAAGGGTGGTTGTCATAAGACAGGACAAAGACAGCGTCCAAATGGGCTTATCATGAGAAACAAGTGCCCCCCTCACGAAGATCGAAGATGGAACATGCCTCTTGTAAGTTGCAGAGCCCGACCGCCGACCGCAATTAGGGATATCTCAAACTTGGTTCAAGCCCCACCCATATGTTATTGAAAGCCCGACCGTGCGCGGGATATGGCTGGGTGGCCATCAATCAACTTGGCCCAAGGCTCATATCTCCAACTTAGGGATCCCTCCATGTGGGGGTGGCTCAAAATTAAGCCACCAGACCGCAGGCTTTAGTCCATGTTTCCATTTACCAGGGTTCCATTTTGGGTACCTAGTTTTCACCCACAGCCATGTCGGTTTCCTTTGATTTATTTTCCTTTGACACACACACACACACATCCAAGTGTGATTTGTTGAAATCGCTCGTTTGACTTTTGGTCAATGTTCCAAGATGGACTGTCAAGGAACAGGACGCCCTTTCCGCGAATGGAAGGTAGATGGAAAATTGTTTGGGGCAAGCTTCAGTGATCTCAACGAAGGTTTGCGACCGCACCTATGACAAAAATGCCATTCTTGAATGTCCCTCAAGTCAAGCCGGTGACACGTTTCCGTTTATCAAGAGCATGCTGCAAGCATGTGTATCTGACATGAGTTGAACATGATGGACAAACCACTGGCAAATTTAGGGATGTATGTTCTCCCATTGGCCCCAAAGGTATTTGTCGATGGTATTTGGCACATGGCAAGTAGAAGCTGAAGTAAAGAGGGGGGCGCTAGTCGCTAGTAGAATCGTTTGGAGCTCGCGGGCATGATGCTTGCCCAGCAAGATGTGTGGGTTGGGCGTTTAGCCGAACTGGGCACAAGGCAATGCCTACATGGTTCTTAGAACAGCACTTGACACCATGCGTCCAGAGCTTTGCCATCCACTGGCACTGAGAAAGGAACTTTGCTCTTTGGCCAAAGCTAATACACTACGCATGTTGCCGATGATTGTGCCAAGTTCTCCATGCCATTTGAAAATTAAAAAACATGCAAACTTAACAAAGCAGCATGAAAGGTTGATGAAGCTATTAAAGAAAGATCATTGATAGGACAAGGGCTTGAAACTATTGTGCCAACGGGACGCCTGACACCTGCATATATGCCATGGCGGCCACACTCAATCCACCCGGCGTTGCTCGGGTCTTATGTTTGTACGGATTTGTACGGCCCTCCAATTCAAAGTTGCGATCATAGCAAGCCTTGCCAGGGAAAGATATTACCATGATCCACGTACCCTTTCTGGTATTTCAAACAGAAGCCAATCGGAGAACGCACATTTTGGACCTACTTGGATGCTCAACTTAGTAAGTAGGTGATAACCATGGTTCTAGCAGGGGTAACTGGGTTAGTCCCTACAAACCATGGTTATAAGTTACAATCTACTAACTTACTAAGTGGCCTGAACACCTGAATAAGTCCATCTTTGCAGGGGGTGAGTGACAATCAAAATCTCTCTACGGGGTCTTGAAGAATCGAATACCCTGCTTGCAGCCCCAAAAAGGGGGTGGGGTGGGGGCGGCACAGATTACGCGTGAGGCCCATTCAAGTGCAAGGCTGGCCCATCGCCTTGTCTGGCAAGGACATGGCAGGGGCGCCCAGAAGGTGCCAGGGGCTTTTGGTACGAATTTGTGGACCCCGGGCGGTTGACTTACCTCTTAAAAACACAACTTTTCAACTTTTTGGGGGTAACATGGGCTATATGTCTGTAAAAGATTAACTTTTCCAGGGCTTGGAGTTTTAAGGGGTAAGTTGATGAATAAGGGGGTTGATGAGTCACTTGGGTGAATTGATGGGGAGTGAATAGAGGGGGGTATTGATAGGGGGATTGGTCGGGAGGAGGGGGAGGTTGATGAATCACTCAGGTTAGTTGATAGGATGTTACCCCTCGGACTCGTCGCACTCCGACCTTCAAACCTTTTGGGTTCACGTTTGCATTCTGGTCGTCAAGGTCCCATGTGCGGGGCCAGTAGGTCCAGTGGGCAGCTGAGTATTCTGGAACGAAGTCCTGCACCAGCGAAGATGGATGAGACCCTATGAATGGGCGCAAGTGCGCATAACTGGTTCTGAAATTTGTCCGTCCACAGGGTTTACCCTCCCACAAACTAACATGGAAGTGCACAGACCCCTGTGGAAACACTACTTTCCTCTTGGAAAGGGCCTTTTTGCACAAACCCATGTTAGTTGGTGGGAGGGTAGATTTTTCTTGGCTTCTCTCGCTTGGGTCCGCTTGGGTCCGTGAGAGACTGAAGGTGGGCATCGCGGAGACGGGGTCTGGCAAGACGCTGGCCTTCCTTTTGCCTGGCATTGTACACATTAACGCGCCGCGCTCAGCACGGGCTGTTCATTGGATCCCCAACGATGTGCCTCAAAATCAGTCACAATCAAAACTTGGGCAGATGAAGGTTAGTAAGGGACGGTCCCAGCCGCAAGTGGGTGCGGCCGTCTTTTCAATTCCTTACATGGTTCTGGGTTCCCCGTTTTTGTACCAGGTTTTGATTCTGACTCAAAAGTTGAAAACCCCGAAAACGGAGGAGTTGAAAACCCCTACGGCAATCTCGAAAAAAGTGTATTATCCTTTTTAGGGGCACCCTCAAAACACAATACAGACTCAGTTACCAGCCAGCCATTTCCCTTTTAGTTTGGCCTGTGGGTTTCCCCTCAGCGAACACACAAGAAGCACTACCCTCAAAGAAAGACAAACCCATATTCATATCCCCAAGAAGGGAACTCCAAGGTGAGAAAGTTGTTTTCTACATTGGCCATTTTGGTGGTCCCCTTAAAACAGACACCCATATCGACTGGCTGACAATGTCGCGCTTGGGAACGCTTCCGGCTGTCGAAAGGGTCCTAGCCGATTCAAACCGCTGGACCAAGCCTAGAAGTTGTTCGCGGGGTAACTATTTTTTTGTCAAACAGACCTATAACAGACCTTTGCCTTTGTTTGTTCGGCTGGTCTTTTCGTTCTAAGAGAGAGGTGGTCTTTGCTTGTATTTGTTCAGCTTTTGTTTCACCGGTGACCTGAACTTTCATTGCTGCTTTGCATGAGTAAGTCCCGCGGCAGTTTGGGGTCTCGAAAGGGTTGGGTCCCGTTGGCAGAAGGAGGAAGAATAGGATCCGCCTCAGAAAATACTTTCTACCAGCACCCGGGTCCCACCAAGCTTGTTCATCCGTGTCGAAAATCCCGAGTTCTGTCCCAAAAGCAGTGATTGGGACCTGGGTGCTGGTAGGTTCTATGAACTTGTCCCTCTTCCCGGGGCGGACGGTTCCTTTGGTTTGCGCCACGATAGACCCGTCGTTCTAACATCCTGCCTGGTTCAGTTAGGGCAGGCGTCCTGTTCTTTGGGAAAAGCATCTTTCGAACATGTTCCTTGGCCAAACTTCATGCTACAATTGCTGCTTCAGCACCAATTCCTGGGCATGTCCCCTGTCCCCAATTTCCTGATGCAAACCTAGATCGGGCACCCCAGAAACTGTGCAACTCACGGATAAATTTGTGTGGCACCACCTTAACAAAGGTCACTTCGGGGAGGGGAATTCTGAACTCTGGAATTTCATTGGCTCATGTTCTTTGAGTTCCTCTTTCGTGTGGAATATGTGTATATATACATATATTATACAAATACACGCATACATACACATACATACACATCTACAGATTATCATGTGTATATGTATATATATATATATGTATATGGTACGTGCAGGAGGTGGTTCTCAAAGTGGACATGTTGGAGGTTGGTGTCATTTTTCCAAGCTGTTGGTTGGCTCGAAAATTCCAATAGTGTATGGATGTCTGTGTTCCCTTTGGAGCTGCATGAAGAAACTAGCAAAATCCCACAAAACCCAGGAGTACTCACTTGTACAAGTCCTGTTGGGCAAACCCTGGCACTGTTGACCGTTGCTCATTGGGTGTTTCTCACAAATTCCCGGAGGCTTAGCGGGAGACAAGAACACCATTTGAATGGATCCAACTGTGTAACAACGGGTTTGCATGGGTTCTTTTTGTGGATTTCATGTGTTTTTCACTCTGTTGGTTTCATTTTTTAGTATTCTTTTACTGCTCCTTCAATGTGTAGGGGTGGATCCACAGATTCGCGGCACCGCCCATAGGCGCAGCCAGAGCTGGTGAGGGGGGACGGCCCCATCGTGCTAGTGATGGCGCCGACCAGGGAGCTGGCCAACCAGACCCAGGACTGGTCAGTCAGCCAGCCAGTCAGTCAGTCCGTCAGCCAGTGAGTCAGGTGAGTCAGTCAGGTGAGTCACAAAAGCCCGGGCAAGTGGAGGGTAAGGGACAATCCCAGCCAAATACGGGTGCGGATATCCGCCTTTGTAATTCTTTACGTGGTTCTGGGTAGAAGATCTGAACACCGAGTTTTGATTGTGACTCAGATGACACGCATCCCTCCACCAGACAAGTTCAACGTGTTCAGAGGAGCCTGCTTCTATCCACGATCCACCCAGAAAGCAACAATGCCATGTTTAAGAATTTGGAATCAGCGTTTGGACTTCCAGGCTATTTTTTGCACAGTGAGCCCCAAGTGCAGCGTGGAGGCTACCACAAGTCTGAAAAGTGGTATCGGATCCAATTAACAACTGTAGAAGTGTATTATTTGTTAGCAACCCCGGGGTTGCTTCTCATGATACAGGATACGGGCCTGACACAGGATATGGGTCTTTGAACAAAGCTCACAAGCACTCCAAGAAAGAGATTGCCGATTTCTGGAGCTCCATAGGACTGGCAAAACGTTGATTGTTGAGTGCTTGTGGTTTGTTGGGGTGAGCCCCCCTTTCGGGTGGCTTTGAAGCAAACACAAAGTTGGGAAACTGCGCCTAATGTTCGCGGCTTTTCCATATCTTGAGAGACAGGCTCTTATATGGGCAGCGACTTATGGCTATTGAAAGGGGTCTTCCTTCAATGGGTCGATGCTCAGGTGCAATGCGGGAGCCGCAATCGAGTACAGAAGAGTCCCCGAAGAAAAAAAGGTAGGGTGGACTGCTTTCAGTGAGCTTTGCCAGGTTTTGATGCCCCATGAGCGTTCAACCAAATTTAGCGTCAAACACACAACCTTTGCTTTTCGGAGCGACGTTTGGTCAATGAGGAGAAGAGCCGGGCCTTGCAAGGAAACTTCTAGGGGTACCTTCCCCATTCTTTCCAGGGAGTTTTTTTCTAGAAAACCTCCGGAAACTCAGGGAAAACGGCCGGTTTTGGAGAGAACGATGGTGGAACAGCATGGGGAATCAACCTTTAGAACACTAGACATATCACCATATTTGCCCGGTGCAGCACTTCATGTGTGCCATGCTCGAAACACCCCGACCAATCCACTCTGTACTTTAGCGTCACTCCGGGTATTGTTTTCCTTCAGTGGGAAACTTGGACAACCATTGCAATGGTTCCTAGAGAAGCGAAAAAGTGCCATTGCTGGCAATGCTGTGGCACATGTTGGGCAAACCTTGGTTTGATGATTTTCAACAGGACGGGTGCCGGAGACAAGTGGTTTGGCTGCCACCCAAAAGGGGTGCCCCATGCAAGCGAAGATCTTGAATGCACATACCAAAGACAGCACGGCCCAAGCGACCTGCGAGCTGCCCAGGAGGAATGCAATCGCTTCGGCAAAAGCTCGAAGATTAAGAACACCTGCTGTGACGCTGCCATGGTTTTCCTGTTGGCTTTCCGTTTAACACCCACAGGGGCACCAACTCTACACGGCTGTGGGTCAAAGCCCTGTATCCCTGGTGAAAATGACAATAGGTACATGAGTGTTCATCCGCCGAGGCCCAGCCACACTCGAAACCTGGGTAGAAGCTTGGGGAGAGTTACCAGAAAAAAACGAAGCTGGTTGCTGCCGCTTGGTTCATGTCCATGTTCCTGAGTAGATCCCTGTCACAGGTTGCCTGTGGCTTCCGCAGGTTTCTTTGGGTGCCTTCCATTTGTCGGGTCCTTGCGTTCGGCATTGTTTTTTGTTGGCTTCACATGAAAGATTCGGAAGTGGACCAGAAACACCTTCCGAATATTTTCCACAGGGACCCAATTTGTGCTTGTGAACCCGGTTGGATGTTGCCGAACAAATAAATGGGCAGACAAAATGGTCGCAAGAGTGGCTGGCATGAAGTGTTCCACGGCCGAACTTCGGATGAGCAAGTTTGGGCTGTGCACTTCAAAGCCGCCCACATCGCGAGGATCAGGAGCAAGTCTCAGAAACCAAACCAAATCAACAGCAACCAACAAGAAATTCAATGTTTTTTTGAGACAAGTTTGCGGGAACAGACGCATATCAAGACAAGACAAGACAAGGTAACTAGCGGCGACTATTCCGGTGTTCTGTCGCTGATCGGTCAGTCCACGGCAGGTTATGGCGGTGTGCCCAGATCCACTCAGCAGAGAGAACTGCGAGAGGGTGTGCCAAGCTCGGCATCCCTTGCATCAGACGCGTGACTATGTGTTGGGTGCTCCCTCCTTTGGAGGTGGTCAACTCAAGTAGTAACTCAACTTCCTGAGTTGCTGGACTTTAAACTTTTGGGGAAGACCATTTTGGGGGTAAATGGAAAGTTCTGACTTTTTCTGGCCAATCCACTGTTTTGTTCTTCCCACTAATTGCTTAACTGGTTTTAAAGCACTCCGCCATGCTAATTGTAGTTATTTAGGCTCTTATCGTGAACCCGTGAACGTGCTTTCTTCAGAACTCACCCTTTTCCAACGTTTTCCGGGAAGACGACCTGAAAGGTCAAACAAGTTCCACCCGTTTGGAGAGAGAGAGAGAGAGAGAGAGAGAGAGAGAGAGAGAGAGAGAGAGAGAGAGAGAGAGAGAGAGAGAGAGAGAGAGAGAGAGAGAGAGAGAGATTTGAGGCTCGAGGTTAACTGCGCGCAGTTCAATCGGCTTCAGTCTGCCGCGCGGCTCAGGTGGAAATTGTGATAGCGACTCCTGGTCGGCTGATCGACTTCTTAGAATCCGGCGCCGTCGGCGGACTTCCACAGAGAGAACATGTCCTTGGCTCGCACGCACCGTATCTCAGGGAAGCCAACTAGCAGGGATACCGGAAAACCAGGGATACGGGAGGATTCCCCCTAAATGCACCTTGACTAAGTTTGATATGGGAAATGGCGCCAAGGGAATTCCCCATGTCCGCGCTCCCTCCGTATCGTCGCTTGTTCGTTTGTCCAAGTATCCAAAGAATTGGTGGGATAGGTGCCTTTTGCTGCCGCAGTTCGTGTTCACAAGTGCCTGTTGGCATGTTGATTGAAGTAGTTACCGCGTACACATTGGGACCTGGCCCAACAGAGGTCAATTTTCCACGCTGGGTGGCAACAAAGAGGGCCCAGTTAAACCCACCTCTTCCGACTGAACCCCAGTTTCTTTTCCATCATTTGTGACCTCTCGTGCGGGGCAGGTAGTCTGTGAATTGCCTCCTGTCGCCAGGTGACACCAACCTGAAAAGGGTGACTTACCTGGTTTTAGATGAGGCGCGGCGCATGAGCGTCAATGCTTGCCTGTTTTGGCAGCCCCTGGATGGCCCTGTGATGCGCTGAAATGAAGGGAGCAAGACATGTCCCCTAGGTGGCTGGCACTGGGGGTCTGGGATGTGATGTTTCTGCTAGAGATATTGAAGGGAACCGATAGGAAACTGGATCCTACCTTCTGACAAACAAAGGTAATCAAGGCAACCACCCTGCAACAACTATAAGGACAATGGCTGGTGAAAAACTCTAGAAACCCAAATGCAGTGTATATACATATGCATATTATGGGACTCGCGGGGGGCCAAGCCCTGAATGGAGGGGCCCTCCCAAGACAGGCCCGCCTTTCTGACGCCACGTTTGCAAGCTAAGCACCAACTTGCGGGGCTGCAATTTACACACTCCAACAAAAGCGAGAAAAGACAGAGCCCCACAGAAGGCTCCCTCTGAAAGGAGATTTTGTCTGCACCCCGGGCCTCAATGGTTCAACCAGGTTCTAGAGTGGGGTCTGCCTTTGGATTAATAGTGCCCCCTGACTGGAACAAATCGAGGAGTCGATGGGCGCGTGATTTGTTGGACCGAGGGCGGGGGGCGGGGGGGTTTAGGTTCTACTTCGACTTGCCAATACTCACTTGAGTGCCATTACTTGAGTGCACTGCCACGACTTACTCTCAGATGCCCAGTGTTTAAATCAGTATGCCCATTCTCAATGAAGTATTGCCAAGACTTTCTGCCACATTCCCAGCACGTGCTTAAAGCCTGACATGACAGCAACCCTCGGAACAGTCAGATTAAAGCGGACGGCTCTTGCCGGCTACCTCTGGATGAGACTTTTCGGCCTTGGCTTTTGAACAAGGGATGATTTGGGGACCATGTTCAAAAACGGAGTTCCGATTTTTCCCCTGATTTGTTGCTCGATTTGTTGCCAGATTCTTGTGTTGCCCCATTTTGCTTGCCCGGATGCTTTTTGCTGTTCATTTCCTCCAGCAAACATGTGTTCGATTATCGTGACCCTCGAAGCAGTCACATGATGCTGAACTAGGAGAAACACATACTACAATAGCGACTGCCGATTGTAAACTGATTCACTCGGTTCAGATTCGAGTGGATGGGATGACAGATGTGTCAAGTCACGGTCATGGACCCCTAATCAGGAATTTTGACAGCCACAGGCTGACTATGACACAACTTATGTCCTTTTAGGTGTCGTTGTTCGAAAATAGAAGGATGCCACTTCAGCGTGGTTCTAGCCATTTACCTGTTTGGATTTTTCCCAAAGGACTAGACGCCTCTCGTTCTCACCGAACGTCCCTTCATTTTCCCCAGGCCCTTTGCCTGACCTTTGTGAAACCGGGGTTGGGTTCGAGATGGTGACTGATCCTCAGACCATCCGACAAAAACTCGGGAAATGTGTGTGTGTGAGTTTTCTCTTGCGTCGCAGGCTGACAGGATGTTGGACATGGGATTCGAGCCGCAGGTGAGGAAGATTTGCTCCCAGGCACGGTTGCGACAGGGTCGGGAGCCGGGAGCGGCAGTGCTCCAGCCACGGGTCACGTGTTGCACGTGTGTGTGTGTGTCCCATGTTTTTAGGGCACCCAAATCGGGTTTGTTGAAAGGGAGATGTGTTTTGTTGGGGTGTGGATCCTTCTTTCAAAGTTTGTGTGAACAAACGGAAAGTACAATGTTGGGGGTTGGAAGTCCCTGTATTCCAAGACCAATATGTTGTTCATTTAGATGCGGTTACGTGTTTGAAGCTCGGACCCTTTGTTGGGATGGTTTAGAGGGAATTCAATGGCACACCACTCGTTGTGGTGGGAGGTCCCTATTTCAAGACTGGAAAGATGGCTTGTTTTGTTGAGACGCCATTTCGATTTGAAAAGTCGCTTTCTATTGATTCAGGACCTTGCAGTAGTTGCCCCTCACATGCATGATTTGGGCGCGTCCTTGGTGGCTCCCAGCCATCCGGTTCCTTAGCTTTTTGGCATTTTAGTGTTTAGTGGTAGTTTCCATTGAACCCACCAAAAGTTAGTCCATTTTAGCGGGGGATCCGAAAACGGGCCGCCCAGCCGTATCAGGCCCCCTTTTTCCAAATTGTCGCAGCGCGAGGTTCGCCCAGATCGGCAGACCTTGATGTGGAGCGCCACGTGGCCGAGAGATGTCCCGAGCTCAGGAAGGGAGCGAAATGTGTTGGGTGTGAGGGTCAATGGCCAATAAGCCCTTTGTTCATGACAAAATGGGGTATCAATAATAACCAGAAAAACAAACAAACCTAGAAACAAGGGGTGTCCTTTTGGGGATTTTTGTTTCATGACCAAATGGGAGTTTAAAGTATACCAAAACCCGTTCTAACCATGGAGGGCCTTAGATTAAACAACCAACCCGCTGTCCCCTCTGAAGGGAAGCCCAAAGGAGGTTGACGCAAATGTGGTTCAAGTGTTGGGGAGCTGCCCCAAAACTGTGGATCGCGGCTCCATGTGTTCCCAAAAGGACACCCCAAAAAGTTGTTCAGACCGCTATTTGAATCCCAGCCATTGTCAGAAATCGGGTTTCACGGACACTTTCTGTGATACCATGGCCCCCTTAGTTCGTGAGAGGCTATATCCTTCCCGCCTCAGATGGTCTTGGAGTTAGCCAAGTGGCGTGTAAGTAAACCCCGAGTAGGTTTACTGGCCATTTAGCTAACCCGACCATCGAAGCACCATGCAAGACTGGGCAATCTGAAGAGTTTCCTGCGGCCGTTCTTTCCCACCCCACCCCACCCCACCCCGCCCCACCCCACCCCACCCCACCCCACCCCAACCCAACCCACCCCGACAGTTGGGTCTTTTCCAGTGCACTCCTCTAGCGCTCCTCTTAGACCCTAGTGCTCCTCGACCAGTCATCTTCTGGTGCTCCCTTTGCTGTTCCAGCGCTCCACTGCTCCTCTAGTGCTCCTCTAGCTCCAACCTGAAACTACACCTAAACCAGCCCTAAACCCAAGCCGGCCCCTGGTAAACCAGCCCAATCTCACCCTAAGCCCCCCTGACTAGAGGGCACTGGAGCACAGCTGAGCAGTAGAGCCCCAAAACGAGAAAACCACGGACAAGGCAATGAAGATGAAGGAGAGAAGTTGTGCACTTTGGGAACCCCCCCCCCCAACAAGCCCCATCTCCAAGATGCATTGCTCCGTCGACATTCCTTGGCTGCTTGCAGGTGAGAATAACTTGTGGAGAAATATGCGCTTGCCCCTCGAACCAGTAAACGGTTGAACTGTTTGGTTAACTGCTCCAACTGGTATCTTCACCAAGAGCGATGAGGGGAGCAAAACGTTGCACTGTTTAGGCAGGGGGGCAATGGCCGCCCAGATTTCGGTGGCTGTTTCATTTGCTCAACAGTTTGGAGCCCATCCAGGCATTTTGCAGATGTACAGCGTACCTGGGTCACCGTGTGTTAATTGCCTTCATCTTTGCCCTTCTCCAAAACGGTTGTGAATAAAATATTTGGATGTGTCTTTTTTGGGGGCCCCTTGGGTTGTGTAAAAGGGAAACCAGCAGGAGACCAACCTATTATAACCTATTTATCTTGACTGCTATTGGGTTGGATCTTAGACTTTAACTTTTTGGGAAATGTACTGTAGGTGTTTTCCACCAAACCCCCAAAAAGTTAGAAACTTTTTGCAGGGGGGGGTCAACAGCCGCCAAGTTATATCGGACTATATCCCAGGTTGAGGCCTTGTGGGTTTTCGAGAGCCCTGTGAGGTGCAGAAGCTCGCCCGGGATTTGTGCAAGGAGGAGCGCCATTTCCGGTTTCCCGTGAGGAAACCGTGGTCTTGAAGCCGTTCTTGTTTTTGGGGAAGGGGAAGATTGGTTATGGCTCCCAGCACCTTCGATCTTGTTTGGTTTGAGGGGGGAGAAGAAAAGAGCTTACTCCTTTGCTTTTATCTCCTTTGGGTTGCGGTGCTTTAGAATGATTTGTAGGAAGGATGTTGCAGCATGTTTCAGCAACAGCTTCTAAATGGTGGCTGTGCAGCAGGCAACTAGTTGGAGTTTCCAACTATAGGTTTGAAAAGGTGGCTTCCCAACTGGTTGCCTAGTACCTGCCAACCCTAGAGGATCTTGCACAAATAAGTTTACGACGGAGCCCTTTTGACCCCCAAAGGAACAGCGGAGTGTTTCTTTGCGCTCGAGCTTCTATAGCAGTTGGTTGTTGTTTATTTGCAAGTTGTTTGTTCTATAATAGTGGCTCAACTTGGGTTTGAAATTCAAGTATACCACACTCCCATTCGAATATTTTCGGCCCTTGAAATATGCAGGCGATGCCCACGAAAGTCTAAAGACACTGAAATCCGACACTCGTCCTCAGGGTTCAACAGAAATACTCACACCGCAGACAGAAGGCCAGAGCTGATTGGGGCCGAGCCACCACTGGTGGCAGAGTCGAGGTGGTCCAAGAGAACTTTTACCCCCGTGAACATAGAGTAGAGACAGTGTGATACTCCCATTTACAAGTTCTTTGTTGTTCCTCAGGTAGTGGACTGGAGTCGGCATGTGGCGGAAACTGTCGCAGAGCTTTGCATTTCTTGACTGTTGATCTAGTTTTGAGTTCACCCAGTTATGGAGGAACAAGTGGAAGGTTACGTGCTGAAACAGTTGTGCATTTGTTGATTGCGACACATGCTACGTAGCATTAAGGCACAACCGGTATGCCAACACTGTACTACTACTTGCGATTCGATTCCTTAACAGCGACAGCTATGGGGTCTTGTTCAATCCTGAATTCTGTAAACTGACCCGACATGGCAACTGAAAGCTAGAGTAATTTCCCAGCGTTAGTTGCAGGGTGCAACACAAAAGCACGCCCCAAAACACGCCCCTGGGAAAGACTAGGCCAGACCAAAACGGGGGCAGTGTTCCGGGGAAGTGTTTCGGTGTTGTTGTTGCAACTCTCGTGTCCTTGATTGTGAGTGGCAGGGTGTGGCAGTTGATTTCCAAAGCCACTCACTCTCTGTGGCTCAACTGTTTCGAGGTGAAGAGGCTCATAAACCTGACCCGGTATTGGGCCAGTTTATATAGTCTTTCCCAAGGATTTCTGTTTAGGCTGTGGAAAGTCACTCTTTTGGGCGTGCCTTCTGGCAACTTCAAAAAATATCCCAGAATATGGACCCCCAGATGAGCGTGTCTTGAGAAACCCGCCCCCCCCAAAACACAAAAAGGACCAAAACATAACAATGCATTTGTTTCTGTCGGCTTCCCTGTAAAGCCACCAAAACCTATGCTAGTTGTTTTTGGTTTTTTTTTGGTTTCCCTTTGCACCACAACGAGGAAAGGGTACCAAACCGAAGACGAGGCACGGCGTCTGAGGACCCGGTGCACATCAACGTGGGCTCCACAGAGCTGCGGACGGCGCACACCATCCGCCAGTACGTGGAGGTGGTGCAGGTTGGATCTGGGCGAAACAAAAAGACCCGAAAAGACGCAAGTATTTTGCCAAGGGATGTTAAGACTTTAACTTTCTGCCAACCAATGGGTTTCGATTAAACCACTAAAAGTTACTTTTAGCAGGGGAGCAGAAAGCAACCGAGATGGTCCAAGGGTATACTCCGGTACGGAAAGGGTGAGTTCAATGCCAAGCATGTTTACTTAGCTGTGATAAAAAGTATGCCCTAGTTTCTTGTTGAAACGTTGCTGTCTGAAAGCCTGTCAGCTTGTGACACGGGCTTTGGGTAGGTCAGCTGGTTTCGCTGAAGGGTATGCTTTGGTACGGAAAGGGTGATTACAATCCCACCATGTACTTCAAAGCAGCTGCGGTTGCCCGGATTCTGATTTGGGAAGCAAGCTGAGAGCCTCGGGAAGCAAGCGGCGGACAAGACCATGATGGCTCCAATTTACGGCTGTCCGTAGTGGAGGTTTGCTCTGGGATGTTCGCAAGTTTGGGCCATTGGGTTTGCACTCTTGATTGGCCCAGCCAGAAACCGAGGAGCACTAGGGGCGAAGTGGACTTTGAATTTGTAGTTGGAAATACTTGGGTGCTCAAACATCAGGTGAGTAGGATATAGCCATGATTGTGAATGGGGCAACTGGGGTGATCGTTCCCTCGTAACCATGGGAATAACCAACTTACCAAGTGCTTTGAACACCCAAGTGGCCGTTTTTTGGATGAAGGGCAGTGGGGCAAAGGTTCTAACCCAGCTGACTTGTTGCGAGGAGAGTGACAAGCGCAGCCGCCTGAAGAGGCTGCTGGAAAAGGCCGGCACTCGGGGTCAGAGTAGTCAGGGACTGGCGCCTAGTTGCCACGGACTAGGTAGCCAGAAACCAGGTATCTCTGGAATCTATAGATATGTACCAGATATAGACCTCTAGGTGCCACTTCTAGATTGATGTTTCTTGCTTTGGCGTTTCTTCAGACTGTGGGCTGTTTTCAGCCTGCACCACCGCAGCTGTTACGGCGTCCCCGTATAGATGATCGAGTACTAGGGGCTTCGCTGAGGGGTTGGCACAGAAGAGACCTCGGCCCCAACAGTTTCGCAGGTCATGGACGGCTCGAAGATTCTGATCTTCTGCCAGACCAAAACCGGCGGCGACGAGCTGACCCGAGAAATGAGGCCCGAGGTTCAGCTTGACCGCGGGGCTAAAAACGTTGAAGAGGGGGACACACGAAATGGCGGTGCGATCTGACAGGGGGCCCCTAACAGAGGTTCCCTTTCAAGGGAATTTGCTTCTTGGTTTTCGAGCACTTGATGGGAAGCATTCCTGAGAGTGGAGGAAGCGCATGCGTTTCTATGTTTGGGTTGGACACGATGCAAAACAGGTTCCTGGGTTGTCCCCTTCAAAACCCGAAGCACGGCACCGTCCGATTGTTTGTTCAGAGGCATCTCGTTGTCGGTGCTTGGATCGACAGGACCGGTGGCTTCCCAGCCCTTTGCATTCACGGGGAGAAGAAGCAGGAGGACAGCAATTACATGGGTCTGTGTCTTTTTAGGTTCCCTTCTTGTTTGGTTTTAAAGGGAAACCAAAAGAAAACCACCAATTTGGGATTGCATGTTGATCTTCGTATGGAAGTAAATTCTGTGCATTGTGCATTAAACCCACAAAAGCTTAGATTCCAGGCTTTGTCAGGTCCATGAGTTTCATTTCTCAGACTTGCAGTCGTTGAAAGGAACCTTCTTTCAGCCAATCCACGGAAGTGGGTTGTGAAAACTCGATGCTAACCAAAAACAATGGTTTCTATGGAAAAAAACACAATGCAACCCAGCTGGTCCAAACCCCGAGCGAGGATGGGCGGCGCATTTGTGTCGTGGGTAGAATTTGTATGGATATGAAACCAGCATGATACTCCTTGTTTGGTCTTGCTCCCTTCAGGAGCGAGAATGGGTCCTGAAAGAGTTCAAAGAAGGCGTGGTGATGGCTTGTCGAGTGAGTGCATCGGGACCTCGAGATCCAGACCCGGCCCGTAACACGTTGCCCTCCGTGCCAACAACATTGTCGCGGCAATTGAGCTTAAAGCGCATCCCATATCCAAAAGGTGGGTAGACTACTCCCCCACATTCACTGTAGGAACCACAAAGAAAACAATTTCCTTCACAACTCCAAAAGGCATGTTGGAGGCCTCTAAGTGCTACTACGTATATAATGTGTGTAGAGGAACTCCTTTCGGGAATTGGACCTTTCCTTTTGGGGTCCATGTCAATTTGTAGGATGTTATTTAAGCCATGACTAGCAACTTGGTGGGCATGGACATGTTTGTCTGGCTGCCAGGCAAGTCCCCCATCCTGGTGGCGACGGATCTGGCCTCTCGGGGGCTGGATGTGAAAGACATCAAGTGCCCCTAGTATTGCTTACCTCGGATTACTCCGAGGACCCTGCTCGTCAGAGGAGGAACCCCCTAAAATAGATATCATGTCCTTACCAAAACGCAAGCACCCCGGATTTTATTGCGTTCCTCCAGAAGTCCGAAGGTGACAGTAGTTTTGCTCTCCCGGAGAGCTTCCCTTTGATGTCCTTTGATTTTCCCTTCAGGTAGCCATTTTACAGTATTTCCCCTGGTGGCGTATGGGAGCTGAAAGCGCGACAGGGCCTGCTTTCGCAGAATCATTTGTCGAGGGTCTGGACCCCATCCGGGAAGATTCTCAGGGGACCATGCCTTCTCAATGCTTGGAACCGCTCTAAAGGGCACTATACCCAGACATGAATTTGCGTGATGATTGCTTTCCCAGCTGCCCCCCCTTCATACGAAGGCTCAACGCACTGAGTACTCTTTCTCTTTTGGCGCTGTTTCGCAAGCAATCTGGGCTGCTGGGACTGGAAATGGAACCCTGTTGTTTCCCCTGTGGTCCAAAACCAGCTAGGATGCCCGGGGAACCGCCCGGAGAAACAAAAATGAGAAGGCACGATACCCCGGGGAAAAGCCGATGTGCCTTTTACTGTAAGGTACCTCATTGTTGGCCATAGGCTTTTCCCAAGTGGACAGTGCCTTCTCAACTTTGTTATGTTTTTAGAAACATGAAATTTAAAAATGAGCGAGCACGCAGAGGTTGGGGGAGAACGCAAACCCGGAGAAGGCCCGCAAAACCCGGAGAAGGCCCAAAAAACCCGGAGAAGGCCCGCAAAATGTGGAGAAGGCCCGGAACAAAATCGTCTGTTTTGTTTGGCGATGTGCGACGTGCAAATCCGCATCCATGGCTGCTGGTGATGCCTGTGCTGCTGCTGATGCTGGTGATGCCTCTGAACTGGTGATGCCTAAAAGTATCGAGCCAGAGCCAAGGCTGACAAACAGACGTGCCAACCCTTGAGAAGGCACGCTTATCTGGGGGAACCCGCAAAATCCAGAGGGCGCGTGTCCAGACTTCCGAATTTGCCCGGCTGTTGGTGGGTTGCCTACTGGCGGGGCTTATCAACGCAGGGGTCCTTTGTGGAACCCTATGAAGGCATCCCCGAAACTAGCCACCAGTTGCTCTGGGATGAGCATCAAAAAATAATTATTTTGGGGATCAACAAAAAATTATTTAGGGGATCAAAAACAAATTATTGAGACCTAGTCTCCGGTCCCCTGCTCTCCTGGTCTCCTGGTCTCCTGGTCCTTGGTCTCCTGGTCCCCATGTGTCGTGCTGGTCCTGGTCCCTGGTCTTCTGGTGTCCTGGTCCCCGTGTCTCCTGGTCGCCTGGTCTCCTGGTCTCCTGGTCTCCTGGTCTCCTGGTCTGCTGATTTCCTTCTCCTGCTTTTTGCTGGTCTGCCGGTCCCCTGCTCTCCTGCTCTCCTGGTCTCCTGGTCCTTGGTCTCCTGTGTCTTGTCTCCTGGTCCTTGGTCTCCTGGTCTCCTGGTCTCTTGGTCTCTTGGTCTCCTGGTCTGCTGGTCTCCTGGCCTGCTCTCCTACCCGAAACCGACCCTAAACCAAACTACACCCACCCTAAACCAACCCAAAACCAACCTACAAACCAACCTTGAAACCGACCCTGTGCAACTTTTAAACCAACCCTACACCCGCCCTAAACCAACCCTAAACCAATCCTAAACCCACCCTAAACCTACCCTAAACCTACCCTCAGCCAACCTAAAACAACCCGAAACCCAACCTAAACCTACCCTAAACCAACCAAAATCCACCCACCGCAAACAAACCCAAAACCCTCCCTAAACCCACCCTAAACCCACCCTAAACAGACCCTAAACTAAACCTAAACCCACCCCTACCCAACCAACCCTAAACCAACCTGAAACCAAACACAACCTTAAGCCAACCCTAAACCCAGCCTAAACCAACCCTAAACCAACCCTAAACCTGCCCTAACCCTACCCTACACTTACCCCAAACCACCGTAAACTTAGCCTAAACCATCCCTTAACCCAACCCTAAACCAACCCTAAGCCACGTAAACCGGCACTAAACCCAGCCTAAGCCCACCCGAAAACTACACTAAACAGACCCAAAACCAACCTAAGCCAACCCTAAACCCGCCCTAAACCTGCCCGAAACCAACCCTAAATTATCCCTAAAAACCCTAAACAACTTTCAAGCCCCAAACCAAACCTAAACCCACCCTAAACCAAGCCTTAGCCCAGCCTGAACCATCCCTAAACCAACCCTAAAGCAACCCTAACCAAACCTCATCCAACCCTAAACCCACCCTAAACTACTGACCTTCAACCGACCCTAAACCCTAAACCAACCCTAAAACCCACCCAAACCCGCAAACCAACCCTAAACCCACCCTAAACCCGCAAACCAACCCTAAACCCACCCTAAACCTACCCGAAGCCAACCTAGAACCACCCTAAACCCAACCTAAACCAACCCTAAACCAACCCTAAACCAAGCTAAGCCAACCCCAAACCCACCTTGAAACCAACCCTACACAACCTTAAGCCAACCCTAAACCCAGCCTAAACCAACCCTAAACCAACCCTAAACCGTCCCTAAACCAAGCCTGAACCCACCCCAAACCCACCCGAAACCCAACCTACATTAACCCTACAGGCATTTAACCGATGCTAGATTCGTTGATAGAACTGCGCTTGTATCTGAAAAGTTGTGATTTTCGAACTGGAGCTGCCAAAGTGACCTTCGCGTACTGCGCTTGTATTGGAAAGTGTCTATTTTACAGCTGGAGCCGTAAAATGCGCGCGCTGTTGCCCGAAAATGATGTAAATTACAGCGCTTTGGCACCCCCAGGCGAGATAATTTGTTTTTGATCCTGTAAATAATTTGTTTTTGATCCGGGTGTCGATAATTTCTTTTTGATCCCGTAAATAATTATTTTTTGATCCTGCACCCAGTTGCTCTCGTCATGGTTTAAACAATTGCTTTCCTCTTGGATTGCTTTTGCTTTTCCTTACACCATTGTCACCGTTCCAAATTGGTGCTGGAGGATGTTGTTTTAGAGTTGCCTCTGGGTTTTACAGCGGCTAGTCTTTCAAAAGCAGCATCCAGCAGGAGTTGCTGTTCAGCGGAGTATTTGTTTCGCTGTATTTGAACAGAGGTGTTTGCCCAGTTGTCGCGGCACCCCAGAAGTCATGGAAGCCTGTGGTCCTGGGTTTCCTGAAGGTAAGTTGACTCAACAAAAACGAAACCAAAGCTTGCCAGGTACGTCATCAACTACGACTTCCCGAACCAAGTGGAGGACACCACTCCCCCCCCTCTCGCGCCCTTCGAGGGGTTCAAGGCCTTAGCAGCAAAACTGGGCCACGAGAGCGTTGCTCAGGTGACAAATGGCTGGAGGTGTTGTTTGGCCTTCGACTCACACTGACAGGGGAAAAATCACCCTTTTCCAGAGGTTGTGGCTTTCCTAGCCTCCTCAGTGTTTCCAGGTGTTTCGCCACTTTCGTAAATAGGTGTACCGGGTTGCCTACTATAGTGGCGAAACGCCTGGAAGCACTGGGCTGGATAGTTCGCCAATTTGGGGAAGTCTCAGGACTATGTCCACCGCGTGGGGCGAACAGGCAGAGCCGGAGCATCAGGCGCGGCTCGCATGGCTCGTAAGCGTGAAGCCAATGCGAGGATGAGGGGCCAGCTGGTTGCAAGCTTTGGTTTGAATTGGGGTATCAACCATTGTGCTGTGCAAGGGATGTCTAGATGGATCTAGTAATTAAAGAGAATGGAGCTTCTTAAAGCTACTCTTGCGGGGGTGCTTCCCTTGAAGCCGCAATTCAGAGGCGTATTTGGAGGATGGTACTGTAATGGTTCCAGTATATCTTGTTTGATTAAACTGGCGTTTATTTCAGTCCCTGACGTGTTGGGGGAGCATTTGTTTGAAGGGAACTGAGCTCAATGTTTGGATGTTGACGGACGTTGATAGTTGCTTTCACCCTTGTTTTTTCAAGTCTGGGAAGGTAATCCTTCCTTTCCGCGAATGGATCTGATGACGGGGTTGCTTCAAAGGCAGCCCCAAGAAAGGCCATCTCCTTTTTGGTTTGTTGGCCTGGGGTTTCATTGAAGCTGCCTTTGTAGGATGTCCAGAACTCAGTCAACGTCCGTGTGGAAAAGAGGGCAAGCTTTCCCTGCGAGTCCCCGGCAAGCCCACAATCGTAGGCAACCAGACATCGGTGGCTCGTCTTTTGGAGGGTAAGGGGAAACCATAACAACCACCACTTGTGGAGTCCACCAAAAAAAGGCACACCCACATGTTTCTCTTAGCGCCTGAAGGGTGGTTCCTTTGGCTACCTAATGCACAGGCAATAATTACTATTTTTGTTGGATGTTTGTACTGAGTGGTTCATGCAACCAATTCAAAGCTTTAGCTTTCAAGGCCATGTATCTTGAAGCAATGCACAAACTGGTTTTGGTTGAAAGCAACGAGCAGGTACAGTACAACCGCTTCCATCCACGGAACATAGCAGGAACATGTTTTCAAAAAATGGCCTTGCGTTTTGAGAAGCAACCAAGTGCGGCCATATTATCATGCTTTTCAAATCCACTTGGATAAGTGGCTCCTTGGACATGTCCTATGTGACCCTTTTGTGCGTTGAAAGGGACTCCGAAAGAAGACTGCCACTCGACTGTGCCCCCAATATGAAGCGTCCAACTCTTTGGAGAGCTCAATTCCAGTACTACTCGGTATGCACAGCCACTCAATTGAGATGTGCCCAAACTTAGAGAACCAACAGCTCGGGCATCGGCTTGAAGAGGGCGAGAGCGCCAAAAAGAAGTTTGTTGTTTAGGACTTGTTTCGGGTTTTTGGGGCTCACCGGGTTTCGCTCAGGGTCTGCCTACACCTTCTTCACCGCTGACAAAGCAAAGCATGCGAAGGCTGGCAGGGTCGCGAAGGATGACAACACTCTGGTAAACTGGGTCATGGGCGTAAGTCATTTGCAGGGATCCTTCTTTTCAGGAAGCCCTCAAAACCCATGGTAAACAGGCGCTGATTGAAAAGAACGATGGTCGAAAATAATTTAGAAGCAACCAGTAGAAATATGAGTTTTCCCTAAATCAAGCCGTGAGGGGCTGCACATTTTGGTTGGTTGCAAACATCCCCGCCTACGGAAAGCCATGAGGCCTCGTTTTTTTTCTTTTTTTTCTCCCTTTCGGAGCACTCAAACGGCCCTGGGACCGCGGTCTCCAAGCGGAGCAGGAACTGATTGCCGTGCTGAAAGAGGCCAACCAGTCCGTGCCGGAGGATGGGCCCAGAGTTCTCTCGCAAAGGCCTTCCTATCCCCAAACCCACAAGGATGCAGAGGATGTTCTCCATTTTTCTTGGGGCCTGAATTTGGCAATCCAAGTTGGCTTATGGCAAGAGATGAGATACTGAAGCCTGCAATTTTGCCCACGTCCACTACTGGGGCTGCATTCTTGACCGTGGGCAATACAGCTGGTAAGCAGCAGGGTCAGGGGAAACAAAACGCCTGGTTGGAGGCCACCCACAGAACACGCTTCACGACCTTTCTGGGGAGTGAGTTTGTCTTGGCGATCAGGCATCCGGTCGAGTTCAAGCTGTTGCGTGCGCGCACATGGCAAGCCTAGGAGCTGGAGAAGCTCGCAGAGAACGCGGGAGGAGGCCAAGAGTGAGGTTTGTCCCAGCATCTGTTTGAGACCCGAAGCTTGTCTCGGTGGTGTAATTTTTGTGTCCAGCTATAGGCTATTTGGCTGTGTGTTTGTTAGGGGACCCGGTTTTCGTCTTGGTCTCCCTATAAACAGGGTATCAGCTCCAAAGAAAAGACGCACCCATTTGTGGACCTTTCCCAAAACACTGGGGCTGACCCCTGCGTCTTTGATCCGGCTTCCCTTTTCGCCGCTTGGATTCCTTCAATCCCCAGCTTTTCAACGGGCTCCGCTCCTTCGTCGCTTTGTTTGCGGGTCGCTCTTTCAAGTCAACCAGCAACATATTGTTTGTCTTCAAAGGACAACATTGTAAGGTGCACCTTCAAAACAAATAGAACAGACACCTACAAAGATGTTTGCCTTGAACTCAATGGTTTTCGTTCGTGCTTCTGGCCCATGGCAATAGTGGCAGGTAAAGTATCGAAACACTTGCGCCAAGTTGCCTTCGCCTTGCTAGGTTCCTTCACGTTGCCCATGGCAAATGTTGTTCATGTCCACAAATAGGGGAAATGCCAATGTGGTGTGTTTGCATTGGCTTTCCGTTGAACACCCGCAACCAGGTGGTCCCCTCTGTTTGGAGCTAGCAGTTTGCTTGCTAAGCGAAACACTGTTTCGTTTTGGGGCAGAACCTTCGCTTGGTCTACAAGCAGAACCAAGCACATGTTTATGTTTCTCCATGACATGCCACATGCACATCAGCTCTGATTTAGGCTGCCAGAGTAAAGGGCCAGGAAGGACCATCAGCCATGGCACCCCTTGCCCCATTTTCGGCAGGTTGGAGGCGGTGAGGCGACGGCTCTCCACAGGCGCTGGAAGATTTGCTGGAGTTCAAAACAGTCGCTAGGGCTGGACCATTTAAGCTCGGAATGCCCAGTGCTTGGAGAGTTGGTGAATCAGGTGTTTGATCAATTTGATTTGCCTGGAGTCTCCACGACCCTTTAAAACTGTGAGCATGACCCCTTTGTTTTGGGTACTGACCCCATTGAAAGGGTCTTGGAGACTCCAGGTGGTTGCCCATGTTCTATGACCCAGCCTCGAGAAAGGTTTTCAGAGCTCAGTCAGAACACAGAAGGCTCGGGTCTGGAACCCTTGGCTTCCTTGTTACGGCCTCTGAGATGGGGGTCTGAGAAGCCGGCGAAGGACATGCTGCGGGACATCAACTTGTTTTCGGCCAATTTCCGGGGAAGTTCTTGGCTCGCTGGTTACGCAGGTTACGAAAAGCGGGTAAACCAAACCTCCGTGCACCATGTCCCGCGAGGTAGCCGTCTGGGCGCCTTAGTGATGTGCGCCGAAGGTAGATCGGCCGGAGCTTGCGAGTTTCGCTTCCGGCGGTTTGAACAAAAGCAGCAGAGAGGAGTGTGCACTGCGGATTTAGCGATTGGCGGGGGGGATTTTACAGTTGAGTGACAGATAGCACACTCCAACTTTTTGGCGCAGTCCCCTTTAGAATGCTTCCCCACAGAAAGGCAATGCCCTCTACTCTGATCCCGCTGTACTTTCGTTCCCTCCCTTGGCTTACCTTTCAATCTTTCAATCATAAGAAACACGGGCTTGCCCAAGATGTAGGCTGAAGATCAAGTCCTTGCTGAGGGAATTCCTTATTTCAGTTCTGTGAGATTTGGTGCAGAGTGGAGCAGCTATCACGCTTTAGCCTTTGGGTTTTTGCCAATATGGTTCGCCAAGGTCCTCAAAGGTGATCGGAATTTCTTTCCAGGTGTGAAAACATGTCAAGCTTGGGCTTGAGGATGGACTAAGACCTGGTAGGTGATTTCTCGGATTCTCGAATTGGGCCCCTGTCGCGTTTTGGCACATTCTATGGGGCAAACCTTTGGGGTTTTAAAACCGAAAAGAGACCCTAAATCCATTGTCCGCCAATTGATTGAGTTAAGCTTCTCTCTTGGCCATCCGAAAGGGGGTCCCGAAGTTGAAGCACTATGATCCCCCGTACAAACACAACGGGTCCTGACAGAAGGCATCTTCAACAAGGAGGTTGAGTGCAGGTTTCGCAACACTGGCCATCGTTCCTGAACATGATTTTGATTTACTCGGATTTCGAGGTGAAAGCTCTGGATCGCGTATCGAAGTTTAGAGACAAGTTGGCAATGATTTAACTATGTAACTATAGTACGTCTTTTGTTAGTAGGTCTATAGTTGGTCATTTCTAATGTTGGTATGTCTTTAGTCAATATTATAAACTAAGGACCCCAGTCGAAGTTCGGATATTTGGATGTTTGCGCTAGTGGAGAATGTGTTGGACGGGTTCGAACAGGCGGATTCCGAGCACTTGCACCAAAAAGACGATCACCGTTTGTTGTATCGCATCCTAAAAGAACAGCACGCCCATTAGTTCGAACCCATTCACACGGTCCAAGCGGGTTGGTTGGGATGTATAGTATTATTATTATTATTATGAGTATTATTATTATTAATGATTGTTATTGTATATTTTTATTCTTGTTGTTATTATTATTATTATGTGTATTTTGCGTGCTTTAAAAAATGGGTTCTGCTTTTCTTTATATCTCGGAGAGTCAAACATCTGCCTCCGGAGAGAGCCACCAGCCGATTTTGGTTTCTGGCGATCGCGGCTTTTGGCGCCCGCCATGCCAGGCGCCCAAGTTACCCGTGGGGCACATTGGTTTGGTTTATCCCTGCAAATTCGCATCTCCCTTCCCGAGTTCCTGGACTTGAGTTTGTTTGAAAAGACCCATTTTGGTGATAGATCCAAAGTTTGGACCCTTTGGCCCATCCACTCAAGAGGTGAACAAGTAACATGGCAGAGACTCCCCAACAAATGGGATCTTTCTTGAAATGGCGGCTTTCTGGGTGCCATGTCAATCACCTTCCCATCAGGCATGGAAGTGACACTTCAATGTCAGTTTAGAAAGCGGCCTCTGTGAACTAAGTTTGTTTGTGCGAAGCTACCAGCTACCCCAAGTTGGACCTCAACTTGTGGTTGACCTTGGCTTCAGCTCTTTCGCTTCTTCATCTTTATGTTTGGTCGGATGTCATGTGGTGAGCAGTTCTGAGCTCCAAGGGTGGAGACACCAATTGACGTGCTTGGTCCCTTCAGGCGTTTTGTCAAGGTTACCCTTTTGTGGTTTAGTGTTGAGGCAAAGCAACAAGGGACACCACATTTGTTGGATCTCCACACACAGCCATGTTCCCTTGTGTCAGTGAATGTCAGCATCTCGTATCAGTAAGCCTCCCACTTTGTAGGGGGGTTGAACTTTCACAACCTAAATCGAAGATGAGTGGATGCCCTTTGGGGCAACATTTGTGGTTTGGATGCCGATTCTATCCTTGGATACCAGCAGGGGCTAGGTTTTCCTGGGATCAAACAACTGGCTCTTGGCGTGGGTGGGCAGTGTGGTGGCGGGGGGGCGAGGGAGGGGTGTGTGTGGCCACTGCTTTTGTTTCCGGTTCAGTGGCCGTCGGCGGGAATCAGCGGCATCAGCCTTCTCGCAGCGCCCCAGCTTCAGCGACCAACTTCTGGTTCTTTAGGCCTCTTCCTGTTCCCCAGCCGCTGTGTGATGAATCGCTTCATAGAGCACGAGGGACGACTGCTTTCGGATAGCCAAGGTTAAAAAGAAGGAGAATGGATTTATGGTGAGGCGAGGAAGCAGACCTTGTATAGAAACATGTTTGCCCTTGGCCAACCCGCTGGTCAGAGTAACCCAAGCTCTTGATACTTGCGTGCATTTTGTTTGTTGCCTATGGCCTTAAACCCCAGGGCAGCTCACTTCAAATGTCTTTTTCAAAAAGGAGGCCTCGTGAGGCTTTCGGATCAGGTTTCACACACATTCCCATCCGTTGCAAATTGGGTATGGGTCAAAATTAAACTACCAGGGGACCGCATGTTTGGGTCCAGGTTTCCATTTACCAGGGTTCCATTTTGGGGTTGTCCTATTTTTGACAACCACAGCCAATGGCTCTTTGCAAACCGAGGCTGTCTACGGCCGGCGCCTCAGGTGGCAGGTGGGCTTGTCTCACGCTGTGAGTTGGAGAACTGAGGCGCTTTGGACCTTTGGGGACCAGAAGCGAGCTTTGGGGCGGGGGGAGAAGGGAAGGGGGGGGTGGGGAAGAAGGGGGGGGGGGGGGGAGAAGGGGGCCGGCGGCGTATTTAGTTGCGGGCTCAGTGGCATGGGGCTTCTTTCCTGGTCTGTCGTTCTAGGGCCTCAGGGCCAAGCAACAGAAGTTGCAACTGTATCTTTCCCCGTGGGCAAGCCCTCTTGGGTTCGAGGATTGTGGTCGAAGCTTCCTTCCGATCGGAAGTGACCCGAGGAAAGCCCTCATAGTAGGGTTTGCCCAAATCTCACCCCCCCCCCTCAACAAAAAAAGGGCCTCGTTAGGTGGTCAGTGAGAGTTCTTGAAACTCTATAATCCATACCCAAGGGAAAGGGGTGGTTCCGTCCAGCCTTTTTTCTTTTCCGCATGAACCTGTTCCAACTTGAGAATCTGAAAAGTCCAACGGCGAAATTCCAATGGCATCCCATGGGGCGAGGAATTTCACCACCCCCATTTTAGGTGTCCTAAATTTTAGTGGTTGGATTGAACCGGATGGATTTCCCATGGCCCTATCCCACCCACTTGTAAGCTCAGGGAAACGAGTTCTGAGTCGAAACCAATCGGGGATCGCCACCCCGATCTGGGTACCATCCCAGCTTCGGGTCCACTCGCCGCTTTTGCTGAGGCTCCGGTCGCCTTCACCGGGGTAGCGGACCTGAGGCCGGTGAAAAAAACGTCGGGGAGCGTCTTCCTTTTTTTGAGGGGACATATCCTCCGGCACCAAGGAAACGTGTTTGTACTTGATTTTTTTCTCCCCCTTTCCTCCCCCCCCAAAAAAAAGAAGGAACATGTAACATAAGAAAAGTGGATGAACACCTTTTTGGTTTAAAGCCACCAACAAGTGGGGTGCCAACTCCGAAAGAAGGCGAGCCACCCATTTGGTATGGCGAGACTCTGATTGCCTCGCGGGAAACAGAAGGCAAAGCTTCGGTAAGGGCCAAAAGGACACCAGCGGCCCAATCCTAGAGAGCTCGAGTGAGAAGAGTCCTGTCAAGGGGAGCTTCGCTGAAATGGACGGCTTCCAACTGAAACAAATGTGGGTTTCTGGTCAGTGCTAAGTGTTCCTTTCAAGCCATGAGTGGTACGAATGATTTTTTCTTCTTTTATTGAGACTTGGAGGGGGCTGTGTGGGGTGTCGTGCTAGTACTTAGAATGCTCGGGCAACTTAAGGACTTATAAGTTAGTTATAGAGAACTTATGAAAGTTAGCTGTAGGGAAGTTAGGCGGAACTTATAAGTTACTTATAAGTTACTTAACTGTTTTTAACTTGTTTGCTCAGCTTCTGCGCATTATCATGTTCGTTTGTGTTTTACGTGTTTTTTATAGCGCGCTTTGCATCCAATTTCTTCAGCCATGGTGGGTTCGATCACGAATTTCTTCAGCCGGCAGCGTGTCAGAGGCCGTTTTTCCTACTCGAGCAGCCAGATGTGCGTGGTGTTGCCAATGCGCTCTTCGCGCATGTGCATGGCCCGAGGCGCTGACGCTACACTTTCTATATGGACAGCGTGCAATCTAAGCGTGCTCGCGCGTGTCCATTTCGATCGTCCCGACCGGGTCGTGTTGAAATGAAGGTCTGCTGGTTCCAAGACGTGGATCAGCAGAAGGATGCGCGAGTCCACGGAGGTTACCCCAAGCACTTCAAAGGCTTCCGCAGGGGAGGGGATCAAAACATCCCCTCTTGAGATTGTGTCTGGGCCAAGAGCTCGCGGGGCCAGGGTGGCTGGAGCAGTGGCGCCCAGCGCAGTGCCGACGTCCACGTTCTCAGTCGTCCGACCGTCCAGGCGCCACAGAAGCCTCTTGGCTGGCTGCTTGGAGCGGAGTTCAGCGCTTGCTAACTCGAGCAAGCACTGCTGGGAAAAGCGTGCTAGCATTTGTTGCCTTCTTGCGACACGTTTGAAAGCGCGGTGCTTTCTCTCACAAGTGAAGCAGTCAACCAAGCGACCCCACTTCCAGCACTGCTGCTGCAAGTGCAAGGAATAATGCAGCTTGGGCCGGACCTTATCAGCGCCGTAGACAGCCGCAAAGCTTCTGACGTGCTCAGCTTGCAGCCGAGCCAGATGAGAGCCATGGGCAGTGTCGCGCTTCGTTTCGAGGACGCACAAGCACACGCGGTGCAACGCTTCAAGAGAGGAGTGCTCCCGGCGCATGTCTGCGCAGAGGCCAATGGCAATGTCTTCGCCAAACTGCACACAAATGGAAAGCACAAACAGCGCTTGGCCCGCATCTCCTCGAAAGTCGGCCCCCTCCCTCCAAAGGTGGACTGTGAACAGACTCAAGAGGTTTATGCCCCGCGCCCGCCCGACTCCATGCCAGCCTAGCTCTACGTAGCGCCGCATGTCTGTGAGGCTGAGGTTAGCCTTGCGGCGCAGGGCTGTGTACCAGTAGCCCAGCTCTTGCCCCACTATGCCGTTGGACCAAAGCGCGTGCATTGCGTCAAACGTGCAGGAATCTAGCTCGCACCATTCTTGCATGTCGGGAGCAAGAAGAAAAGAGGCAGAAGCTTCTTCCAGCTTCCAGCCCAGGAGCTTTTCGGCCTCGCCGAGGGAAGTTTTCGTAGGCATGGTTGACAGGTGGTCAATCGCAGCGCGGAGGCTGTTTTGAGTCTGTGGCACGAAGCTTGTTATGTCTGGCTCGGCCACTGTCACGTGCCATCGGACGTTGCCGTAGCCAGTGTTCATAACATTGGCACACTTCAGGCATGGCTTCATACCCGAAGATCCTTTGCAGCCAGTGGCAGCGCGCAGGCCTTCTGGTCTGCGAGAAGAAGCGCGCGGTCGAAAAACAGGAGCTCCGCCGAGCCAGAAAGCTCCACCGGGACACCGCTGACTGTCTCCGCCCGCACAGCTCGCAGTAGCGCCGCAGCGAGAGTGACCATGCCATGCCGCAAAGCACTGATTTCTGACGTCCGGCTCACGGACAAGGTGAGCCAAGTGTCCTCAAGGTAAATATGCGGCAGTTGGAGGATGGTCCAGTACGTAAGGTTGGATTTCCGAGCATTGTCGGGAGAGAGCAAATTGCCAGGCGTGCATTCGTCCAGGTACACCACCAGCGTCAGCTGGTTGTCTCTTTGCTGGGCTATTGCGCGGAGGCAGTCATGGAACAGTGGACAAGCGTTGCACTTAGCCTGCAGCACGCCGGCTACAGACATGTAGCTGACTTGGACTTTGGATGCGGGATCCTTGGCCGGCAGGTCCATGACCTGAAGGTGCTCCATCACCTCGCCACGCACCTCATCACGTCGTTGCTGCACGCGTGTGCCCCGCCCATCCGCGTCCAGCACCGCAACGATCTGGCGACACTGAGCCGGGCCGATGGATGGAATCTGGCGCAGCGTGTGGAACTGGCTTGCGGCACTGGCGGTGCTGCGAGGATCACGTGGTCTTTTGGCCATAGCTTTTGAGAAACAGCAAAAAAATCGAAAAGCAAACGCTGTATGTATAGGTCTTCGCTTTGAGTGTAGTGTGACAAGCAGACACGTTCGCTTCATGACCCTAAACCCAATGGCATCCTCTGCAGCGGTTATTGCTTGAGGGGACTGAGCTATACCACAGACTGCGGCCCTTACCGAAACGTCAAAAGCGCGGCACAATGCTGCCAGAGCTGCGATGACTTGTCTCTATATACCCAGGCTAATGCAAGTCTTGCGGCGCCGGCGCGCGTCTACACAACACGCTATCCAGGCAACACCTGCATCGGCGCAGTCACGCCACAAGACGCAGGACTAAAGCAAACGTGCTGAATTATTGCGACATGCGTTTTATAAAAGCCCCGCCTCACTTTGCGCGCCGACGCTTCGGCTGCGCCGACACGTCTGCAGGGCCATCCCCCTGCTCGGGCGCCGCCCGCTTGCGTGCCGGCGCACTGACTTTAACAGACTTGAGCACCTCTCGCGCACAAGCCAAAGCGGGCTTGAGATCATCGGCCGTGAAGGGAAGCGAGGCGAGCGCCTGTGGCTCCTGGGATGGCTTCTCCTGCTCGTGCTGTACCAGAAGATCCCGGCAGGCAGCCAGCCAGCATGTAAGCTTTGCCTTGCTGTCGGTCAACGCTTGCTCAAGACCAGACCGACTTGCGTCCGAGGGACGCTTGGCCACGCAGGCCAAAGACTTCTCCAGCGCGGCGCAAACCGGGTGGAGGCAGCTCACGGCTTTCGCAGCCAGCGCTGCGGCTTTGGTGTTTTGGCTCGCGACTTTTTTAGCCACTTGCGCCTGTCGCTTGTGCTCCGCTGTGACAGACTTCGTGCTATTGCACTCAGCCTTCGGGGGCAGAGGGAGATCGAGATCCAAGGCCTCTTCATCTGCAGGAGCTCCGCCCTTGGGCTTTTTGTTCTTTTTGGCGGTGGCTCGCTTTTCGTGTTCGAGCACAGCGCTCGTCACGTTCTGCACGGTTGTCTGTCGGCACACGGACTTCAGCATCACCGCGTGCGTGTCTCCCAGGATAGGGTCCCATTCGTGTGGGGACTCTTCGATCTGCTGCGTCGTGTAGCCTTTTCTTTCCCACACAGACTTCGGCTTGAACACGCCTCCGACTGCCGTGGTGTGGCTCTCGATGATTTTGTCGCTGATTGCAGTGATCAGGCCAGCGCGAACAGTGGTCCAATTCAGCCGACCGCCGCACGCTTGGCGCTGCTCCGCCAAGTGCGCGAAGAACTTGACCGACTCCGCGTCATCAACGGATGGCATGTGCTCCGGCTTTCCGTCCAGATTGCGCCGCAACATGGTTTCGACCGTGTTGCAGCTGGGGCAAAGGACGCGCCTGCCGTGATCCTTCAGCTCGCTAGCTGGCAGCTCGCGGCGGCAGAAGGTGCACGCCTTGTGGCCATCATTGACAGCTGCCATGCCGCGAAAAGCGCTAAGAAAACAAAACGGGGCCCCGCTACACCTACTGTGCCAAACAGCTATACGGAACAGCGCCGGGCAAAACACAGTGAGCTATAGCGGAAGGTGCAGGCGAACGCAACTCACACAAGATCGCAACAAATCACAGAGAAGCGAGCGGCCGCGTACAATCCGCGTACATCCGCGTACATTGGCCGGTGGCCCGCGTACATCGCGTACAAAAACAAAGTCTGCAATTCTTGCCAAGGCCAACCCACGATCCCTGTGACTGTCGCATCCGCGTACATCGCGTACATTCGCGGCCCGCCCATCCTTTCCTCCCGCGTACATTGGGCCCCAAGGATCGTCGGAGCCGCGTACATTCCGCGTACAATCCGCGTACAGCGAAATCAGACGGCCGCGCAACGCCGAACAGCACGCGCAACCGAGCCAAGAGCACGCACCGCCAAACAGAGTGCGCACTTCAAGTGTGGACAATAAAAACAAGAAATGACTTCTCTTAGTTGCCCGAGCCAACATGTCGAAGCGCGCTTTTTTTGTCTTGCCCACGCATGGAGTCTGGTGTCCGGCCTATGCCTGTAGACAAGCTGTACAAAGCCATTGGCCATGGGTCTAAAAATCCTCTCCTCGGCGGGAGGAGATCTGCCATGCTCACGATCAGCGATCGCACAGATCGCGCCGCCAGCTTGCGAGCTGCGATCACGCGGATCGCGCCGCCAGCTCGCGAGCAGCGATGCAGATCGCGCCACAGCAGCAGCGCAGCCATAGGCCAGGGGCCATCACATGTTGATGATGATCTTGCCCTGCAGTGAGCCGGACCCCTTGCGCTTCTTCTGCCGCGGCTCAGCGCTCGAATCCGAAGAAGACAGCTTCTTCTTCTTCTTCTTCTCCTTCTTCTTTTTCGGCGCTGGCGAAGGGCTGCCAGGAGAGCTGCTGTCCTTCTTGCGCTTGGACTTGTCCTTCTTCTTGCGCCGAGTGGTCGTTGCGCTAGCAGGGCGCTTGACCTTGGGCTGGCTGCAGTCCGGCTCCTCCTGCTTCGCCTTGTGGGCGGACGCTGCAGGCTGGCTCTGGCGCTCAGGGTACATTTGGTTGCCCCGGTTCCTTTTGAGCCTTTCGGCAGGCTTTTGCGCCGCTCGCCAGTCCTGGCAGGGAGGGCTCTGGCTTTCGTACATTTGCCAGGTGATGCAGTGCAGATTGCTGTAGGTATGCTGGTCCTGGGCTGCAGCCGCCTTGCCAAGCTTCCTCCAGCACCACTGGCGGTGGCCTGCAGGCGCCCCAGCTGGAGCTTTCCCTTTGGTGGCGTTGCCACGGGTGACGCACGCTGAGGTCTTTGGGGGCTCAGCTGGCTCCTTTGGTCGCACCGGCTCAGACGCAGGGGGTGTGTCCGCTGCGTCACTGGTTGGGGAGACTGGTGGCTTGTTTTGGCCAGACTCCTCAGTCTCCGAGTACGAAGTTGAGGTCGCTTTGGCTTCCTCGTCGGCTGCGACCTCAAAATCGAAGCAAAGTACTCCCTCAGATTACTATCTTGACGAGCTCCAAAGAAGTCTATAAGGCTGTGTGCTTTGGGCAGGGGAGGGGGGGGGTTGTTTAGTTCGTACCATGGCCCCGCGCATCTGGCTACGGATCCACAGACCACGCAGGTCTGCGTCTCCGGCACCCCGCAGGTGCGCCCACAGACCACGCAGGTCTGCGTCTCCGGCACCCCGCAGCTGCGGCGTCAGCCTGCCTGGCGCTCGCGGCCCAGACCTGCGTGGTCTGTGGAGGAACCTGCGGGGTGCGGTGCAGACCTGCGTGGTCTGCAGCATCGGCGGCGGGCTGCCGGAACGCAGACCTGCATGGTCTGCACGCGGACACCTGCGCACCTGCGGGGTGCCGGAGACGCAGACCTGCGTGGTCTGTGGACGCACCTGCGGGGACGCAGACCTGCGTGGTCTGTGGGCGCACCTGCGGGGTGCCGGAGACGCAGACCTGCGTGGTCTGTGGGCGCACCGCGCAGGTCTGCGTTTCCGGCACCGCGCAGGTGCCTCCACAGACTACGCAGGTCTGCGTTACAGACCACGCAGGTCTGGGCCACGACGCGGCCGGCAGCGACTGCATGCCACTCAGGCGCCCTGATGATGCCTCTGCGTCCTATGTGTGGCCTTTTGTCGGGGTTTACTTTTGCATGTGGCTACACCCTTGTCTCACACCCCAAAAGAAAGCCCTCACCCGACAGCGCGCCTCCTCCTCCGAAGCAAGGCATGCAGGACTGTGCTCATAATTATAAGCCAAACGGCCAGCGGGAGAAGAACACAATAGCGCAGCCTGTCAGAAGAACATGTTGCGTCTACATGACACGACACGACACACGCGTAAAGCACCAAAGCAATGCGAAGCCAGTGCAATTTTCGACTCACGGACATGGGAATCACTCACCCCCGAGTGTTCACAACAAGCAATCGCAGCGCGCATCTGAACTCAAAATGTGACCTCAACGCTCCGCTTTCGCCAACAGCTTGGCGTGCAGTATGCCGTGTAGCGGCAGCCACTGCAGCCTTTGCTATGCCTTGCTACCAGACTTGCTGGCGCTACCTTGAGTAGAGCCTGCTTTTTGTGAGCGTGGAGCTCGCTTGCGGCAGACTGAGCAGGTCGCTTGAGCGGCGTGGAGCTTTGGCACTTCTGTGACCCCACGGCCGCTTGAGATGCGGCCGGGCGCCGCAGTGCCGAGCAGCTCCCGGCAGGCCTCTTCAGCGCCAAGGTGCGCGCCTTTGCTTTGGCCGCCGGTTTTTTCGAAGCCTTGTTCCTGTGTGCCGGGGGATCTGCCTGTTCTTGCTGCCTGGTCTGCAGCAAGTCTTGTCGCATGCCATCCAAAACTGACGCAGGATCAGGCATTTTCGAACTTGCGTGCGCCTGCGTGGCATCTGGGCCAAGCTGTGCAGCCGTGGCCTGCGTGGGCTGACCTCCTATCGAAGACGGCTGCCCAGGACGCAACGGCTGGCTTTCCACCTCTTCTGCGGGTCGCGAAGACAGCGGGCCGTCCTGCAGAGCCAGAGGCTCTTTTGTCCTCCCCGGCGGAGACAAAAGGGTGATGCGCGGCTGCACTGGCGCGGGCGCCCTGGCCGTGGCGCCCTGAAAGCCGGATGCCATCGCCGCCATGAACTGGCCCAAAGCAGCGACAGTGCTACCGGACGTTTCCGCCACTCTGCTCCCGTCCCCCTGGTCCCCTGTCAGGCGCGAAGTTTTACGCAGCGGCCACGCCGCAGCCTTGCCCGACAGCTCATCCATGCGTGAGCAAGGGGCCGGTGCTCCTTCCGGGAACGCAAGAATTAGAAGCTCACGGGGCAACTCCTCAACCAACGCAGGTAGCACCTGCAAATAGTTAGGAGGCTGCGGGCGCGAGGCGAGCAGCTTCTTGATCTTAAGCCGATTCTGGGTCAGCAGCTCAAACATCTGACTGGAAGATGGCTGCTGAGAGCCCACACACCACACCGTTGCAAGCATGATGGCCAGCGTGCCCTCCGTGGGATGCCTTAGGCCCAGCTTAGCAGAATGGTGCGTCAGTCGCTCAAGAGCTGCCGCGCGTTCTTGCTGCTCATCGAGCAAGACTGCCCACAGCTCTTGGCTGAGATACCGTGGCAGGCAGCGATAATCCTGCATGGCTTTGCGGGGTGCCGAACCTTCCCCATCCTGCTCCACCATGGAAGACACTTGCACCTTCACGCCCTCCATCCAAGTGGACTCCCAGAGGCCTTCTTCGAGTGCTTCCATGAAAGCGGTTGCCTCAGCCACGGCTAAGCACGTGGCGCAGGCCAGCGCTTTGCTGACCGCATCTTGCTGCTTTTGGCGCACAGATGCATAGTTCGGAAGGGTTGTTAAACCCTTCAAAAACTTCTGCGAGGCACTCAACTGCTTGAGTAACTTCGACGCCATCGACTTTGCAAACCTGGGCTCCCTATTTCAAAATCGCCGCTTGGGTTGAGCCAAGAAGCGGCCAAAGAACACTTGACGACAAAGAGCTTTGGCGCGTTTTCATAACAAATTGCATGTCCAAAATGCAATTCAGCAACCAAGATGACAAATGTAGTGTAAACCATAACTTCCTAAGTTGCGCGTAAGTTTTCGTAACTTCTTGTAACTTCACAAGGCATGAAGTGCTTAACTAAGTTAGAAGTTACTAAGTTCACAGTAACTTACCTAGGCCAAAGTGTTCAAGTTATAGACAAGTTACGAAGTTATGTTGAAGTTGACAAGTTATAACTAGTTTATAACTAACTTATCAAACTTATAAACCACTTATAAGTCCTTAAGTTGCCCGAGCATACGTAGTAGATGACCATTTTTTGAAGCCTGACATCTTGGCTTGATATGCCCAAAGAAAACTTGGGCAAGCACTTGGCCAACCCTTCGAGTGGCGCTTCAGCTGAGGATTCATGGCTTTGGTTGCCCTTGTCATCCTTTGCCCGCAGTGGTTCCCCCGTTGCCTAAGCACCTGAAACAGCTACTTGGACCCTAGGAAACGGAATCTAAGGCTTATCTTTGCACTGTTACAGCAAGACCGAGAACTATGCACCTCCGGAGAAAGTTGGGGTGGTGTCAGAATGATGTAAGCCCTTCGTGTCTTTATCATGTGTGTAACCCAGTTGCCCAATGGCGTCCTGTTATCCTTGTCTTGGGGAAGGGTTCCCCTTTAAACTCAACAAACGAAACAAGGAGGCCATTTTTCCCATGGACATCCACTGGGCATCGGAGCTGTGCCAAGAGTTCTTTTGAGCTTTGGCCTGTCAGCTCCCACATCATGTTAGATGTCCGCAAGTGCAAGGTAGGCGAGACTTTGGAGGGTAGCCTCTTCACTCTCGGTTCACGCCTGCGTCTCACATACATGGACCCTCCAGCTGACCATGAAGCATGGGATCTTGCTCATAGTTTGTTCTGGTGTTGTTCCATTCGTTTTTGTTTTTTCCCCCGAAACATCGGCTGGTCCTTTTGGTATGTGTGTTGTTTCTTCTTAGTTTTTTTCTTTT